ATCTCCTACATATACTAAACTTTATAAGAGGAATATAGAAGTTTTAAAAATATACCAATGGATGTGAGCAAGAAGTTCTCTTTTTTTTAGTTTCCTATTTTGTCTAAAGTTGATTCTTTTTTCCCAAGCCATATCACAACTTGTTGGGCCTGAAGAACAGACATTTATGTCTTCTCATGTAAGCATTTGGTCTCCATTCCTCACTTTCACTAGTTGTCCTGCAAGTAGAGATGTTTTCTAAAGAGATGTGTTATGATGTGAACAGAAATGGCAATAGAACTTCTACTTATATTAGTCACATTTGGCCTAACACCCATATTAAATAAATATCGTTAGCCTAACATTTCTGAGAAACTGTCTTCTGACTTGTTCAGTAACATGTAATTATAAAGTTATAGACCTGCAGCTAGAAATCAAATTTGTCTCTGTTCAGACTTTTAGTTTTTTAAGCAACTGAATTCCCTGTGGGTTGTGTGGCTAGAAGGTTGTGACCTTGGCGGTTAGGAGGAGGAAGTCTGAAGCAGAGTTCCTATATGAGTTACCTATTTCTGTGTAGCAGATTACTCATAATTTAGTGGACAGAGGTCATGCCATGCCAGTGCTGGCCTGAAGTTGAGAGGAGTAGATTCTGCAAGTGTGCTCTGGGGAAAAGTACCTCTTGTAGCCCAAAAACGAGCTCCCCCCACAACCTCAAGTCCAAAAATGGGGCAAGACATGTTTTTAAAAAAGCAGTGCTGATTTATTTTATCCTGGGCCCAGCGACACAGTGCAGTTTGAGTTTGCAAAAGCTGTGTGTCTCGCTCAAAACTTTTCAGACTTTTTGTAGAAAGCATGATTTATAAAGTAAGGGGTTATGAGCATGGATCAGGAAATGAGAAAATCCTTGATCTGCTAAGGAATGAGGAGGACTTTTGTTTCCCTTTGCACAGGACAGAGAAGTAAGTCTCACAGGAATTTTCAATCCTTTGTCAACTAATTTTAGCATTCAATTTTAGATAACATCTGTCCTTTGCAGAGGGGAGCAATGATTAACATATCAATTAGGTCGCCCAGGAAGATGGCACATACAGAACAGTAAGACGGCACTACAGGTATAACTTGGGCATTGGTAAACATAACACAAACATAAAGAACCTCTTTTTGTTAGTGTATAACAGTACCCACCCAGTAAAGACTCTGGAACAGTCTGCAACCAGGTGGGAAGACAATTTCACTGCGTAGAGGCTGTGGTGGATCTTGGTTATCAATCAATCTTGATTGGCTTAAGAGACATCCATGAGCATACTAAGGCACATATACATGTGTGTCTGCATGGCCAAGGGAGCATGACCTTAGGGACCGTATCTAGTCCTTGATTTCTTTCTCTCTGGCTCTTTCCTAGTTCTCTGATTCCTGGCTGTCAGGAGATGAGAAGGTTTTCTCCACTCTGCTGTTGCTACGTTGGAGCCCCAACCATAGACTGAAACCTTGAGCCAAAAAATCCTTTTTACCCCTTTGAAATTGTGTAGATCAGACATTTTTCTCCCAGAAACCAAAAACAAACATGGAGACTATGTAGGTGTGGCTAGCCAAATGAGTGTTCAATTGGATCTCCTTATTCCAAAGGGATGAAACCAAGCTAAATTAATCACCTTCCGAGACAAAATGCATAACTTAATAGCATAACAATTGTGTATTTTCTTGATTTATGATGCTTTTTTAAAAAAAATTTTACAATACTAGGAATGAGGAGGGATTGAACACAGGGTCTTTATACTGGGCTTTATCCACAACTCCTCTCTCCGAAGCCCCCCTCTCCAAGTTCTCAGTAAGTTGCACTCTTCCTGCCTCAACCTGCTAGGATGTTGAATTACAGATGTGTGCCACTATCCACAGATAGTTTCTGTGGTATCATTTATAATAATGTATTTTATTTACCTATTGCTTATCACAAAACAGGAACTCAATTATTCTTAAAATAAATAATGAATTATAGAATAAATACTTATATATGCTACTGAGTGGATAAAATATTGTGAAATTGGACAATATTTTGTGCATAACTGTGGATCATATGATTAATTTCACACGTTTTCTTTTTCAAATATGCATCAAAACAACTGAGTAAAATGAAATAAAAGATAAGAAAAATAAGAATTTTGATTGATGAAAGAAGGGAAGACTTTAAAAGAGGCTTTTATAAGATGTTAACATTTTCTATGTGGCAGAGCAAAGCCTGAAGGAATGTGGGTGATGTGTTTATGTAAAGATGTGGCAGCTAGTGGAGAAAACAAAAAGCTGTCACAGAACATAACCCAGGGAAAATATATGGCCACTTCAAAGGGCACCCAAGCTTGTAGTTTAAAACTATGGCACTTGAAACTGTAGCCATTCCTTTTTTTCTCTCAACATATAATAAACAGATATAATCTAAAAAATTCTATAAAACAAAATAAAATTCTAAGCATCTTTAAGAAATGAAGTTGTACAGAACAAAACAGTGCAAAAATAATCATTATTCATGAAAACACTTTTCTGTATTGTAAGTAAGAGGATTTACTTTTAATTAATTTGGGAAATGAATTTCTTATCAGAGAGAAATATAAAAAGAAAACTACACAAAACTCATTTCTCTTCAGTAGGCATTAGTTTGAATGAAATTAAAACTATTAAAATAAGAATTATTTATTTGCTACATTTGACTGTAAGATTATAATTTTCAGAGAGACATATTCCTGGAAAAAAGACATAAACCATTTTGTGCTTAAACAGCAATCCTCATTACCTAGCAGGATCCTGCTGGAAAAACTCATGCTTCAACAATAATAGTTCACACATAAGGCGATTATGTCTACATTGGAGCTTTTACTCAAAATTATTTAAATATCTGGAACTTAGACAAATGCTCAAAAACTGGGTTATCCCACCAAGTAATATATATAGATTTATATAATTGTTTAATTAAATTGATGATTGTGTTTTATCAAAATAATTGGAAAAAGTCCAATATTATATAGGCTCAAAAAATACATTTGAGTTGGCAGAAGCTTTCTAATAAGTGACAAATAACAATCAACATGTAAGAAAATGAAAGGTGTTTAATTTGTCCTTTTGGGTTGTTCTTTACACACAAATATGACTGATTACTAATTTGATACAGTGTTAATACAAACTCATTTACCCATTCGTGTAATAAATATATACTGAAATAGTTGCGTGTGCTAAGTTGTGTTCCGTGCATTCAAAACAAATCAGTAAACAAAATAATAATTTCTACATCATTAAAGCTGACCCTCCAATGAAGAAGATAGAAAGTAAATAGTAGTGATAAAACTTTAGTATTACATTGTGTGTGAAGGTGCTAAGTACTGTGGAAATAAGGTTAGAACAGAGTTAAGTGTGGAGATGAATAGGACTGACTGTTAAATAAGGTGTCCATGCTAACATAGTAAAGAAGTAACTCCTGAACAAAGGGTTGCACGATGTAAGGGAATAATATGCCAGTTAAAGGGAATTATTAATGTAATGAGGACAATATCCAACTTTCCCAAGCAACATTAAAAAGTAACTGCAGTGAGAGGGAAGTGAGAGAAACATTAGAAAGCAACCAGTCAAAGAAATTATATTGATGCTAGAAGATGTTCCCAAAGCCCTTTCACAAGCTTTTAAAGAATTTTGAGTTTATCTTTTTTTCATAAATGAAAATAAAAAGCCCTCATAGGGTTTGATGCAGAAGATGCAGCGTGGTGAATTAGATTTTAACCTTCATAATCCATGTGCTATGATCATGGGTTAACTCTGATCTCCTCCAGCAAACAACTGTAAATTCCTGGATTTGTTACTTTTAAATTCTCCATCAGTCATTGCTTATCTCATGCTTCTGCTGCTCACATGAATTGAATAAGTCCTTGGGAGCACATGGTCTTAATTATCTCCTATTTTCTAATGCCATGTAAATTAGTCATAGTAGAGAACTTTTTGATAACCTAGTAATTAACATAGACAAAATGTGAAATTTTAAATTCCTTCCCAGATTTTCAGTTCCTCCAATGGTAAATTACAAATCCTGTAAGTAGTATCCAATTAAACTTACTATTTACATTATTGCTAGTATAAGGCAGTATTCTAGGACTTAGGGACTCATCATTAGCATAAATAAAAACATACAACATACATTCGAAAGCTGTTTCTTACACACAAACTTGAATTTTTAAAGAACTAAAATGGAAAAGAATGTTTTAATATATCACTCTCTTGTCTATGCCAAGAATCTAAATTGAAGATATTTTCTAATTTAATTTTATGCCTTTGAAAAGGACGAATAGCATTCCTGTACCTTGCACATTTGTTTCTGCTTTTCTCAATAATCATAATTCCAGTTTTATCCTAGTTTTCTCCTATTTGGAGTTTATGTGGTTGGAGAAAACTTAGTAGTGATGCTAAACACATTCTAACTCAGCCAATCCAGTGGATAAAATCTTGTCACTGGTCTGCAGGAATGAATATACAACTCACAGTGGTTTAAGGTATTTTCCTAGGGCTTCTTAGAGAGAACTTTGTTATCCTTCCAAAGGGAAGGCCTCAGAAAAATTGTTTTCTCTTTCTCTCCAGTATAGATGAAGTCTTGTGACTACTAGCAGATGATGACAGCTATTAGGGGAACTCAAGTGTAAGCCTTGAGTTGAAACAGCACTAAGCAATGTGCTAAGGAGACTAGGAAAGGAAATGAGTCTTTTGTGATATCATTAAGATGTTGGCCCAGATCTGGCCAAAACCCCAATGAGCCTCTTTTCAGGTTCTCCATTAGTTCTTCTTTGTTTTAAGCATTAGATGAAGAAAAGCTTTTCTTTTTTCCTTCATTACAACTAAAGATCCATAGGTGACATATCTCCTATTTGTTAGGTGTTTGCAATAACAAAGGGATTATAGAATTTGAAACATGAAGGAATTTATACCTGAGAAGCATTAATAAACACACAAATTAAATAGTGTGATGAATTTTTGCATAAGGATAAAAACTCTACAGTGGAGTCAAATTTGGCCTCGTGTCATCATGGTGGGAGCTGGCCAAGATGGCTGCCACAGCAAACACCATTGCGCATGGACTCTGGGTCCACTGCCTGGACTCAGGGATAAGTTTGACCGCAGACATAGTAGGGAAGGGGAGAAGTGGAGTGGTAACTACTCACTCAGATGCCTAGTGGAACACACAGAATGGCTGGTAAGGAAGAGTTTCAGTGGGGAGATCACATCTGAGATGTTTTATAAATGAGACAAAGGAAAAAACCAGTCAAGAAATAGGTTGAATTAATGATAATACCATAATACTTCTTTATTTATTATTTGCTGTTTCCCTTCTATGCTAAAATATGTTTGACCATTGCCTGGTTTAATTCCTACATTGTATGAAACATTTTTTATAAATGGGAAAATTGAAACTAATAAAAGTTCCACAACTTACCTAATTTTGAGGATCTAAGAACCATAGATCTGGGAACTCAGAAAACTATCGTGACATTGGGATGTAGATTTGCCCCACCACATAGTTCTGGCTTACAGAATTTGGCAACTAAAATAAACTATTAATGTTGGCTTTGTATCTGGAGCTATGGATATGACAAAAAGTGGGAATAATGACAGCATAAAGGAAATCAAATGTTCAATTATTGTAAGAAGTCATCATGCCTGAAAGTTCAGATTTTTGCTCTGAAAATTGAATTTCTTACAAAATGAGATTTTGCTTGTTTCAGTTCTTGAATCTCACTAAGCCATGTCTAATCAAAGCATTCATAACAGTGAGATTAAATAATAGCAACATGATTTGTGGTTACTTCAGATGTGTAGAAATTTAGAGTTCACAAATTTTGTATATAGTTTACAACATATAAGCATACATAAAATGTTCACATTTATTATATATTAAAAGATCTATATAAAACATATTCCTCACATATATGGTCTGCCAAAGATATATAAATTAATGGAGGATCAAGTCTGTAAAACAATGTAATTGGATGCAGACATACCAAATGTTTTTTCTAATATATAAGTATGAATTCCAATGCTATGAAGAGTAAATTAATTAATATTTATCTATATAATTATTTATCTTCAGAAGTACATTTTAGATTATTTTTCTTAAAACAAAACATTTATTACAATAGATTTAGTTCATTAATGGTAGGAATGCAAAATATTGCAACTTTGTAGGAACCTTTGGCTGACTTTTACAAAGTGAAGCACAGGCTTAACAAACATTCACTAATATTTAATTAAATTAATTGAATTTTATGCTGGCCAAATAGTGCATATATAAATCTCCACATGCACATAAACCTGTATATGCTAGTTATATTCATAATTTCCAAGTCTTTAGAAGCAGCCAAATCCTCTGAAATAAGGTAATGCATTAGCAAAGTGTGGCCCACCTATACAATGGAATATTTTTCAATAATAAAAAGAAATGAGCTATCAAACCAAAAATAGATATGGAGTAGTACATGTTGTGAAGAGAGAAAGAAACTAGTCTGAAAAGACTATGTGCCATCTTACTTCAGCCATACAATGACTGGAAAAGTTAATACTATAGAGACAAAAAAATGAGTTCTAAAAGTAGAAGAGAAATAGGAATGAATGGGTGAAGTGATTCACCTCTTACAAGGGCACTTTTAGTGTGCTGAAACTTTCCTGCACGGCATCATAGTGGTGAATACATGACATTACATATTTGTCAAAACCCATGTTAATATCAGAAGATATTATGACGGGTCAAATAGAGTATATGGTAACTTTTTGTGTAATTTTTCTGTGGCCCGAAACTACTCTAGAACAGGTCAATCTATTAAATAGTAAGCCAAAAATTTTATTCCAGAAACTTTTTCTTGGCAATTCAAGACAAGTATAATTAAATTTAAAATTTAAATTAAGTCCAATGTATTTCAGAATTCAGAGAGGGTCTTTCTGGTCTTTGTTCATTTTTAGAAATTTGTCTTCTCATCCCTCAAATGACTACAAAATATACAAACTGAAGACTCTGGACTTGAACTCACTTTGCTTGTCTCGTGGTTGGTACTGTTCTTCCCAACACCAGTGGAATGATGTGATGTTTGTGAAAGAATTAGTGCTATAGATCCACAAACTGTGTGATCTTTTTGAACAGTGGTGAAAACATGAACGCATGGAATGCTTCGTTGTCCCTATAAGGATATGTCTTAGTCACTTTTCCTGTCACGCAGAGTCAATACTCTGCTTCAGTAACTTCAGAGTGGTTTCTTTTGGCTTGTGGCTGTATTCCCTGCTAGGCTGGCTCCAACACAGAAATGACATGATGGCAGAGTCAAGGCAGAGGGAAGCTGCTCACCTCATTACAGCCAGGAAGCAGGGAGAGTCAATTAAAGAAGGGGTTCGGTGGATACACCCTTCCAGATCAGGCCTCCAGTTAGCTGTCTCCAACCAAGCCCTACCTTCTAACAAGTGAGCTATGAACTCATTAGTAGACTAATCTAAGAAAGACCATAGTGCCTCTGTGATTCAATCACCTTCCCAATACATGGGTCTTTTGGGGGACACATGTAAGTTGCATTTGGAAAAAGAACACATGTGCACAAATTTACATGCAGATACACATGAGTATTCACTTTGCACACATGTTCACATACATATGTATATAGACTCTCATCTGCTAGATAGGTAGATAGATTAAAACACCGATACGTAGACTCTGAAAGTCAGGCAGAAACTACTTGTTTTGAAGATCCTCTGAACATCTATACAGTTGTTTTGCATTAATTACATTTTGGGAGGGAAAGGAAATGATAATTTCTGACTCACATGAATTCTATCTTTTTAAAAATTATAACATCTTTGGAAATTCTTGTAACTTGGTGGAACTTGCGTATGAAGATGACAGATTTCAGCTGGAAGAAATATGTTGTGAAAAATATTTCAAATGTCACATCACAACTGGGGCCTCTGCTAATCCTTAAGCACAGCTGGACCATATTATTGCATTACTATTTTATTTGCATTCCTGAGTCATAAAGGCTAAGTGGACTTCCACCTGGTATATTATATCATTCTTTTTCTATGACTAGAGCAAAATATTAAAGGACAAGTTATTCTAACAACCTGACATCATTTACTGTGATCAATCAAATTATGTGAAAGAATGTATTTTCTTTGTAGACATAATTAACTGTAAAATAAAATACTCCCCAAAAAAAGAATTGGTAAGTATATTATAGTTAATTTGCACAGAATTAAAAATTAAAAAATAACTATAGATGACTTTTATGTAATATGCCCTTACTATATCTTTAAAGTACCTATTTTTCTGTTTAGTGGTATGTTACTTCTTTGAAGTTTCAAAAATATTCAATAGATAGCTCCAAAATCCAAAGTCTTCCTTAATGTGAAACACAGCAGGGTCTGCATGGCCTAGAAATTAAGAGAGAGAGAGAAAGATGAAGAAAGAAGAGGAAGAAGGAAATGAGGAGGAGAAAAGAGGAAGGGAGGTAAATGAAGGAGAAGAAGAGAGAAAGGAAATGAGCTTTCCAAATTTATTAAGACAAAGGAACAGAAAGAAGGAAAGAAATAGAAATCCAGTCCAGATAGTGTGTCTACAAGTGTATGTGGATTTGTACCAGTGTCTTATGTTTCCTATGTTCTTTGGCCTATTATTCTGATTTTCAATCTGTACATATGATAATTAACTTTTTAAGTTCTTATGAATCTGATCACTGGAAAAATAAAAGGGGGGTAGAGGAAGGAGGAAAGAGAAGGAAATTGAAATGTGTTATGTATGTATACGAATCCCCTACACCGCCATGAAATAATAAAAGCTAAAAGGAAACCAAAAATAAATAAACCAAGTTTATCATAATTTACACAAAATTTCTCATACCTGTTATGTGATTTCATCTCTAGTAAAAGATAAGTGTTAGTATCATATCACACAAGAAAGCAGTGGTACTCAGTGAGTTTAAGAATGCTCTCTGATCTAGCACCATACTGGAGTAAAAATATGTGTTAGTCTTCTGCTTTGTGTGATAGCAAACTGCTTCTTGAGCTACGGTTAAGGGATGAAAATATGTTTTCTGTTTTATCCAATATCTTATCACTTCAGAAATATTTCAGTGGATGATGCAATTCATAAGGACCAACTGTTTCCTATGAGAGTCTCTAAACAAAGTTCGCAGCTGGAAAGGGGAACTATTAACAAATAACTTGAATAATAAGTCCCTATTTACTAACGTGTTCTAAATTGGACTGGTTCATAAGCTTGACAAAGTGAATCTTATACATCTTTGAAAAAGATATACAATATCAAGCATAAAAAAGGCAAACACACATAAATACAATAAGCCCCTGACTGTGCTGTACTAGTGTACACTATCACACTGCACAGTAAGCACACAGAACACACATGTGACAGTGCTCGGCAGACACGTGAGTTACTTCCACAATTTGTTCACATCTACGAGTGCTCATAATGGAAGGTCTGTTTGTGTCTATGAAAGTTCACAACTTGAATGTAAGTTGGGAACCTACTGTATTTAATAAACTCACATTTTCTATACAGAGCTTTTTGTTAAGGACCCAAGGAAATTAATTAAACACCACTTATAACCAAAAGTACATCTTTGGGAAAGATCGTGAAGAAGGAAATAGTAATGTCCTCAGGGTTGTTGGTAGAGGAAATGACCTAGTGGGATCACGCTAGTAGGCCTACATCTTGCCCTTTCATCAAAGCACTCTTCGTAATGTTTTTCCACAGTCAAGCTAGGTTGAGAAAATTTCCATTACAAGGAAGTTTCATGGACTTGTAACCTTGAGATCTTTCATTATGAAGAAAAATTCCAGATGCCTTAGAGAGTCCTGGTATCCAAAGTAATGGGCTGGATGGAGGCCCAGGCATAAAGGGTGGAACAGAGCAAGTGCTGGCCGGTTGTCACAATTCTTACACAGGGCTGTAGGCAACATTTTCAACTTGGGGCTGTGAAGATGCTGTTTCTGCTTGAACCCTAGCAAGTCTGAAACAGTAATAATAGCTAAATATTTTCTATAAATACAATTTTTACATTAAGCAATTAAGAATAATCTTCTAAGAATAACTTATGATGATTGGGGTTGAAACATATCATTTGCAAGTCAAT